GGGGGGGGGGCAGGAGGGCTCCCTCCAAGAGGTCCAGCGCTGCTGTGGGTGCCCCCCGGGAGGCTTCCCTCGCTGGCGACGGGCCTCTTCCGGGGCGCCATTTTGGCTGTGTGCACCACGGCCGTCATTTTGCCTTGCAAAATGGCAGCCGCGGCTCACTCATGCATGCGTAGGAGTACTATACATGCACAAATGAGTTGCAGCCACCATTTTGGAAGGCAAAATGGTGGTGGTGTGCACGGCAACGGTCGGCAACAGCAGCGCGCGTGGCAGTGGCGGTGGCAGGGGTGCGCGGGCCGTAGGTTGCCGACCCCTGGACTAGAACCTCTGAATCCCAAAGGCAAACACTGGGAAAGTTGTGAAGTCGTAGGCTTTCATGGCCGGCATCCACAGGTTTTTGTGGTTTTTTTCGGGCTGTGTGGCCATGTTCTAGAAGAGTTTCTTTCTGACATTTCACCAGCATCTGTGGCTAGCATCTTCAGAGAAAACTGAAATTGAAAAGCATGGGTGTATATATACTGTGAGACCCTGGGTAGGGAGGAGTGGTTCCCAGGTGAACTGTGTGTTGTCTATATTGAATAGGTATTGTACTGTGTTAAAGGCACACAGGTATTGTACTGTGTTAATGGCATAGCTTCAGGCTATGCAATCAAGGATATTGTCTGCTATTCCCATGTAAACTGTGTATTGTTCTGTGTTGAATAGGTGTTGTTCTGTTGTTAATGGCATGGCTTTCAGGTGAGGATATGCTGGGAAAGTTAATTTAAAAGGCAATATTTGTTCAGTGGACAAAAAAAAATGGGAATGCCATGTTTACCAACACTCATTATCATAGATGTAGACATCTGGTAGACCTATTCCACTTTAGCAGCAAGGAATCTAGAGGCTAAAGGAATCTGTGGGATTCCTTTAACCTCTTGGAGACCCCCCTCTAATTTTTGGAATTCAAAGATTGCTTAGGGGGGGTGACACAACTTCTTCTTAATGTCATCTCCTACAGGAGTTTGAGGTGATGAAACAACTTGGGAGAGGATAAGAATTTAAGTGGCAGACAATTCACAGAGCATGCAACTGAACACATTAACAGGCCTAATGGGTGTTGCTGGTCAAAAAACAATACCTCACCCTCACCAGTATATCTCCTTGGAGTGTCATCTGATGGAGCTTTTTTTAATGAGGTGTGGCACTTAATCTATTTTGCACTGTGTGACATGATACAGGAAGCCTTAAAGCCATGTTCAGACACATTTTCAAAAAATGTTGAGGATAAAGCCGCTCCTGAGTGAAAGACACTACACTTAAGGCAGTTCAGCCAGTGAATATGTTCAGAGCACCAGATGGTCTGGTTTTGTGAGATGATTTTCACTTGATGTGTCCTGAGGTTCTGGGAGGGACATGACCTACCACTTGTTTGCTTGACCCTTGCCCTTCATTGCTAATGACATCCAGAAAGGGGGCTTGACTGGCTGGCTTGTTCCAGGGAGAGACTAATGCCTCATTATGAGAAGGGGAAATCCCACCTGCTTTAAAGGGAAAATTTGAACAACTACTCCTTTTTTTAAAAAAAATCCTCTTTAACAATTACCAGTTGATTGAAAATATCTTTACAAACACTTGAACATGTAGCTATGGCTATGTAACACAAAGGCCTCTTTCTGTCATATGCATGAAGAAATCTGTGAATTCTGGGGAATGAAACGTTCGCCACTGGGTACATGGATTTCAAACATTTATATAGACAGGTTTGAAATGTGCTTCAGGCTCCCAAATTGTTTTGGTCATTCTTAAGGTTTGAGCCCATGAATCTTGAATTATGGATCAGTGAAAATTTCATTTTCAAGGATTCACAGAGTTTTTTCCTCATAAATATGACCCAATTTGGGATTGGGACAATTTGGGAAACTGAAACTCATAGATCTGATTGTTCAGAATTCTAGTATATTATCTCTTTGCAATGATGAACTAAGCTGCTGCTACATCGCTCTTTTAAATTTTCTTAGAATTAACAGCTATAGAACATGCAGGTACAACAGGTCATAGAATCATAGAATCATAGAATCATAGAGTTGAAAGAGACC